TCATTCAAGTGTTTACTGAAAGCATTGCCAGAATTAGGGATGTAATTAATATGTCATTCAAGTTTCTATCATAGCTAAGCTAGCTAGGAATAAAACCTCTTTATAAATAGGTAAATTAGGAATGGGGTTTTGATACGTGTCAATTTTAGTGGGGAAAGATAACTGCAGTTTGTTTGTTATTGTTACTGCATTGGAACATCATTGTACTTAGGTAGGTCTTATGGTGTCGTACATAATTCTTTCTTGTATAAAAGGGGTGCTCTGTAACTTGGTATTTTCTGTTGATGAATATACAGAATTCTCTTCCTCTGTTTCTTGGTTTCTCTCCTTCCTCATCTCTTTGTTCTTCTTCTTTCTCCCTTCTGATTCTCTTTCTATTCTCTAATTCTTGCTTCTTTGTTTCTGGTTGCTATTCTTTATCACTTGATGGATGATCAAGCTTTTAATGATGAAGATTACTTCATGTCACTGAGCAATTCTGAACTTAATGATCAATGTGTCTAAAGCAGGTACTGGTGGTGGAGAGCTGAATTTAGAATGTAATTGAAAGTTCAGTTGAGAAGACATTAATTGGTAGAACCTGAATTTGGGAAGTATATATATGTACATCATTCAAGTGTTTACTGAAAGCATTTGGAAATAAATAACAACACAACTTCCTTCATGTTATGGCCAACCGAAGACCATCTTAATGGAGAAGATTCAGCTAATTATTTTGCATCTTTTGTTCTAATGAGTGCTAAACAGAGAAAGAAGGGCTATGGTTTATATACATAATAGAACATTCATTTTCGGCTGCAAATCTTAAATGGTTTTTGAAGTCCAGATGCTTCAATGTTCTGATGTAGCTATGGATGAATGAGACTCCACCGGTATTGACCCGAGGACTTGGACATCCTCATATGGACATGACTTGACATCCTGGTATAAGTCATACATCCCTCTACCTGAAATCAACATTACAATTTCAAGGTTTCAGTAGATGAAAATTTGAAGATGATAGATGAAAATGATGCACAGTTCATTTCCTTTCCAATGAATAATGTATCATATGTTATGCTACAACTGACGGTAGACAAATGAATGAAGAAAAAAAAATGCAAAACAACATTCATGCTCTAAATGAGATCACAATGTAAAAATACGCTTTATCCTAGCTGAATGCAAGCGAG